CTTCTCATGCGAGCAACGAATCCCGATAGAATATCCGGTGTCATCATCAAAGAAGATTGGCCAGCAAACTTGGTCTCCAGTGTGCATCCCAGCTGTTCACGCTTCCTAGCTTGAGGCGGCGGTACAATCGAAGGGCTCGCGAAGCAGTTCGAATGAATGACCGCACACAGAGGCGTCATTTGCCGGAAATCATACCCAGGTGCGATTTTGAAATAAAATCAAATCTGAGTCGGGGAACGCCTTCCCATGAACGGCACAACTTCTCTCCGCCCCGTAGTTAATCAGGACTGAACTTCGCCGGATAGGGGATCGATTGCCATTCTCGTGGGTATGGAACAGGGAATCCTGTTTTTTGCGTTCCTGAGCGCGATCAATGTGTTGATTGTCTCTTCGAGTCTTTGATCTTCAGTTTCGTCCGGTTTCTTCGCCAAGCACCGCCCGCTCGTTTGACGGCGAGGATCATTGATTACGGCAGTTTGTAATCCTCATCTTTCCAGATTAACGCGGGTTACGACGCATTCTGCTCGGCCTTGTTGGTTCGCCAAATGCTTGGAATTTGCTTGGTCATGCAATTATCTCTCATCTGCTGGGCATGGCATCTTCCATCTCAAATTTTGAAACTTTCTTTCTGCTTAGCCCAAAGCGTATTAAAAGCATCTTTGCCATTTCTTCCGCGCTTCATCATAAATGAACTCGCGGGTTGTCCTTCGCTGTAACACTGTTGTATTGGTCCGACGCGACAGCAAGCAGGAATTCCGATGTCTTCACTTCCTGAGGCAATGCTTGTCGAATCCCCTACCATAAGTTCGCTCGAGTGCGATGGCTCCGGACTGCAAGACAGCGGTTACACCCCGGACGCTTCCAAAACGACTTGAGATCAATCTTTTCGGATGTCTCTTTGCTGCGTCCATGTTGGCGGTGACCCTCGAATCTCCGTGTCCTTTAACCGCCGTCTTCTTTGTCGAAACACGCCTATGCCCTTGGTTTTGGCGTTTCGGTATACAGGCCTTCAGAACACTGAGCAATTCTCCTTGGACTACCTTGATGCAGTTGCAGCTCAGCACAGTACCGCCCGAATGAGCTTGAACAAGGGCAGCTGAGCTTTGCTAAGCCCTCTCAGAACTTCTCGTTCTATGGCTTTGTTGCGTACCCCCGATGCTAAGATAGTACAGCTCGTTCCGTTTGAAAGTCAGAGCAACCTATCGTGTGTTGCGCACGGCATTTCTCAGGTGTATAACTGTAATCATCATCAGAGATCGATAACGTTTCCCATCTGAGGGAGAATTGCCTTCCTTGGACTTTCAAGAAGTCACGGCCCTGAAGACATTGCCTTTTGGGCGTGAATTCTCAGCGGGGGCTCCTGAACTTCAATGCCGCAAAGTAGTAGCCCTTGGGGCGACCCCCCAAGCATGCTGCGTTGTTTGGGCTTTTGCGTTACGTGGTGTCCAACACGTTCTTGATTGGAGCTTTGCTTCGCTCCTCGCGGAAGTGGACCGAGGCGCTCCAAGATACTTCTCCTTCGGGAGGATTCTGCATGATCTCCGGCGGAAGTTAGCTATGCGGAATCTGGCGGCTTAGCTTGTTAGGGCCGAGGTTGAACTTGTTGGAGGCTTGGGCAAAGGTTGCTCCTTAGCCTGAATTGCCGCTTCAGACTTTGCCTCCAAACTTTGGGCACACCAGATCTGGTGCGGCTTCTTTGTCTACCTCTGCTTTGCCAACTTTCTACGGCTTCTTCGGCTTGAGCCCGTGCCTGCGCTGATAGTGCCGCGCGTTTTGCGGATGCTGTCTATTCCAGCGTCGAACGATTCCGTTTGACACGGATCATCCATTGTTGGCGGCTTGGAAGAGGTGCGTTCATGCTGTTTGTTGAGCTGTTTGCCCTCTTTTGTTCTTCAGATCCGTGTTGCTAGCGATCCCGTCAACGGGACTCCCATGGCCTTTTGCGAATCGTTTCGGTAGCAAGCGTTGACGTTGCTATTGGCGGCGCTCTTCTTCGTAGAGAGAGTGCACCACGCCCCCTTGCCGCAGAGAAGGTTGGCAGAGCCAGAGATCTGACGCTGTTGAATACTCGAGGAATCTCACCCGATTGCGACTTTGGATCAAACGGGCGCAGATCTTCGTTTGGTGGCGCTTCGACTTCTTCAAACCAACGAGTTTTTTTTTTGGGAGGAGAACTTGGACTTCTTGGACTGGCGGGGGAGTAGACTGGACGAGGATGAAAGGTACTCTCGAACTTGCGTCTGATCGAACTCGCTATTCGACCTCCTCCACGACCGGGATCTGAGATCTGCGGCTGCGACGCTCCGATCTCGTCGGCGAGTTCCGGTGGCTCCCACTGTTCGGTCGCCAGCTATGTTCGCGGAGAAAAACCGTTGCTTTCTTCATTAATGATTCCATTGTACACTCTTGTAATAGTCTATCATTACAAAGATCCGGTCTTTTTATAGATCCGTTACAACCGAAAATCAAATTGAAAAAAAATGAAAATTACAACTTTGTTTCCTTGCTTTGTCGAACGAATCCGCGAGCTCCTGTGTTTGCGGTCGCTCGATTTTGTGGGTTCTTTGCCTGCGCCGGGGTTGTTGCCTGGCCCACGCCGCGATCTAGATCCGGTTCGGATCTACGCCAGCTACAACGGTATTATTTCACAAGGAAATAATAGCGGGGAGATTGTTTCACTAAGGAAACAATCGTCCAAGTCTCGGGATCTAAGACAAGCTTAATCCGGAGTGTAGCCAACGTAGATCTGAGATCCCTCCTCTCTAACTCCTGCCCTTATTTGGCGTGCATGATCGTCGAGCACCAGCAGCTGGATGTGTCAAGCTCCTCGAAAGTCCAAAGCTTGAATCTTGCTTAGTTTCTGAGTTCTTGAGTTCAGCAGAGGCTTCGCCTCCCAAAATTTCACCCTCTCAAGATGAACAAGGGGGTGGCCTATTTATAGGCTACCCTCACTGTGCCTTGGGCACAGTGTGGCCGGCCACCTAGGTGGCTCGGCGGCCACCGAGCCACCAATAGGTGGCTCGGCCACCGAGCCACCACCTGGTGGCTCGGTGGTGGCCGAGCCACCTTGGTGGCCGCCGAGCCACCAAGGAGGTGGCTCGGCCTCCGAGCCACCATTTGGTGGCTCGGAGGTGGCCGAGCCACCCCAAGGTGGCTCGGCCACCGAGCCACCTAGGTGGCTCGGCCGAGCCACCACTTGGTGGCTCGGCCACCGAGCCTCCTTGGTGGCTCGGTGAGCCGACCTCCAGGGGTTTGTCGTTTTGCCTCTTTGTGCCCGTCTTCCGGTTCTGTAGTTGATAGGTTCGGATTCGATTTGCTGATCTGATTTGGCAGTAAATTCGGATCCCGATTAGGCAGTAAATCCGCTTCTGAGTTGGAGTCCGAAACCGATCTTGATTCGATCGTCATTCGTCCGAGTATGCCTTTGGTTGGATGACTCGTTGACTCCTCGAACCTTTGGCTTGATTCCACACGTGTATGGATGCATTCCGTCGCTTGATGCGATTAGTCAATCTCGTCGCCTCGTTGGTTTGTCGGTTTGTGCCGAGCTGGATAAAAGGGACCTATAAGCAATTTTATATGCCTACAGTATTATTTGAATATAATTGAAATTGATATTGGAATGTAATTAGATTGTGTTGAGTATAATTGGATATGAATATGATTTGGTGTTGTGCTATAATGTGTGCATGTGATATTATATGCCATGCGAAGTAGGTTCTGCATAAAAAAAAACTACTCTAGCATCCTAGACGGAAAATTTTGTCTACGATGCTATCCTAGATGGAATTTTCCGTCTAGGATGTATCATAGACGGAATTTCCATCTAGGATATATACATCCTAGACGGAAAATTCCGTCTAGGATAACCCTAGATGGTTGTTTTTCCGTCTAGGATGTAATCTAGACGGTATTTTATTCCGCCTAGAATACATTTCCGTCTAGGATACTATCATAGACGGAAATTCTGTCTACGATGATGTATTCTCGACGGAAACAAACTAGACCATTATTCTAGATGGAATTCCGTCTAGGTTAACTATCCTCGACGGAAATCAAGCTATCCTAGACGGAAAATTACGTCAAGGATGCTTGATTTTTTACTATTTAATAAATAGAAATTTAAAGAAGAAAAATAGAAAGAGAAATAAGGAATTTGAAAGTTGAAGGAGGAAGGGAAATGAAGGATTGAAGTTATTGAAGGTTGAAGATGATAACTTGGTTTGCTTTTGGAATTTGAGGGATAATCTCTATTCTTTAGTCAATAGTCGGAGACAACTTGTTTTTTTAAGGAAATTGGATTTGCTCACGTGGGCAGGTCCCAGAAAGAAATGAGCAACTCAGAATTGGCGAAAGGAAATAGAATTTCATTATAAGGTATTAGTCTATTGTTTGAGAATTTAAAGCCAATGGGAATTGTGGTCGGTTCGTTGAAGTCAGGTTGAAATTTTTTGAACCTGACCTGAACAGTACAAACTATGAAACGGAACCGAAAAATAACATATCGGACAGGTCGGTTGGTATATTCAGGTTACACCTGCTCAGCCCTACATAAATCTGCGAAGGTCTTCGTTAATAGTATATTTAAACACACATGCATATAAATGATTTGTTACACTTACTGAATACCTTTTTGTTAATAGTATAGTTTACATACCTATATTCATTATGGATTACTGGCCAATTTGGGATTATCTGATCTTATAATAAGAAGTTTTGTTTTTCATATCTTGTCTTTTATTTGCTTTCCCGTAGAATCAGATCTAATTTCTTCAGGTTGATTCGTTCTGCTTTGCTAATAATAGGCCTTGAGCTTTTTACTGGTCGTTTGAAGTATCAAATCAATATCGTAAACTATGAGATGAGAGGATGAGAGGGGCAATTGGTTCACTGGGACTGCGCCTGAATTAACGATAGTTTTTTTAACAGGTATCATCATCATCATCTCAAGAAAGTCCCGCAAAGTAAGCGAAGAACAAGAAACAATGAACTCGCAAATGTTTACAAAGCCTCCAAAATACATGCGTCAGATATTAATCCATCCAAAAATTTAGCCAAGTATTGGAGGAAGTTTGATAAAATCCAACACAAGCAAATAGGCAGCAGCAACACGCTTTTAATGGAATGATTTCGCTTGTAAGTATGTATACTCGAAATTCATCACAAAGTGGTAATAAAAAGAAAAAGATTAATTTAATGAGAGATGGAAGATAGCATCATGTCATTTACACATGCTTAGTCCCGGCCGTGTTCTAACCCCCACTTCCCCCACTTGCTCTCAATCAAAAGCAAGCATCCAACAGGCAGCAACAGCATAGGGCTGCCAAACTGCAAATTGATCCAAAAAATTCAGTCTTATTCCCTTGTTTTGGCTTTTTAACCCAAAAAAAAAAAAAAAAAAAACAGAAAAAACCCATAATTTTTCATCATCATCAAACGTCAACACCGAGAGAGATATTGAGACCGAGCTCAAGAAAACTCACCATCCTTGCATGAATGATGGCCCATTGCTCTGCTGTTGTTGCTGAGGCGGCGGATGGACATACTGAGGAGGACCCTGCGGCATGTATCCCTGACCAGGTGGTGGATAACCGTGCTGAGGAAGCGGGTAGGCGTGCAGGCGGGTAACCGCTTTGTTGCGGTGGGTGTCCTGGCGCATACCCTTGCGGTGGATATCCTGGCGGAGGGCATGCATCCTTGCTGTATCCCTCTGGTGGGTACCCTATAGCCAATCAACAATCCATAGATCTGGTTGGAAAATGATAAAAAAAAAAATCTAACCCTAGAAACAAAAAGAAGGGAAGGAAGAATGGTGATTACCTTGAGGTGGAGGGACGCCGAGGGGTGGTGGAGGGGGGTGGTGGTGGTGGTCGTGATTCATGACTTAGACTTAGAGAGAGAGAGAGAGAGAGAGAGAGAGAGAGAGGAGAAATTGGCGGAGGAGAAAATTGGAGAAGAAGATGGGTGGTTTTTGGGAGAAAAGTATGCGGGAGGGATTTGTTTTATAGAGAGGAAAACGGAAAAACGTATGAATGGGTAGGCGGGTATATTACAAGGTTGAAGTTTGGTGGCGCTGAAGACACGGACTGCTTGCTAACGGGAGATAATGTGTTATTTTAAAATTCGAATTCTAATGGCTTTTGCAAATAGTGTCCCAGTTAATGTTTATGTGAAATATTTACTAAACCTATATTGAAAATAAAACTAAAGTGCCGTCTATATCCATGTCATTTTTTAGTTATACTAGGTTTTATACACGTGTAATGCATATGGTTAAATAACATGATTAAGTATATTTGGCTTATTTTCTAACTAAAATTTATTCCTCAGTTCAACTTTAATAATTTATGCTCACTTTTGTCTCTAAACTTTAATATTGCGATTAGTTATTGTCTTTGATGTTTGTTTAAATGAGCTACACTCAATTTAAAATTTTATTTTAATATTTGAATTGATAGAAAACAAATATAATTTAAAGCTAATTTGAATTTTCATATTATTTTGACTGACATGAAACCAAGTTTTACTTGAGAAAGTATAATGTTGCAAAAGTAAAAAATATTAAAACAGTGTTATACAAGGAAGATGAATATTTAAAACAAATAAGGCAAAATAATTGCTTAAAAGCATATGCTAAAACGATACAAAAGAGAATATAAAGTTTGCTCCTAATCATTAATAGACTTCATAAAAATTATAAATTAAAGATTAATGCTAACTCTAGTATACTTTAATATGATAAAAGCATTTGCAAAGCATATAAAAGTACTGAAAAAACTCATGAAACTCTCTTCTAAATATTTCCAAAATTACTCAAAATAATTAAATTATTCTATAAAATATTTACAAAATATTATCTTTTATTCCTTCTATTTTATTTTTTTACTGAGCTAATATCAGTCCTTCCTCACCTTTATCTTTTTCCCGGACAATTCTAGAGTAGTATCTTCATCATGTACTCGATTGTGATATCAGGCTAGAGTTGTACTTTTTGTGCTGTTATCGTTCCTGGGCTCATTAATCTTTATCTTGTTATTTAACTTCACAAAGAAGTCAAATATATTTTTTATGTTCAACACAAACTTCTTAAAATATAGATTTTGATTTTTTTCAATTAGAATAAATATTAATTTCATATATATAAATTTCTTTGTGTTTTTAATTTATTACTTAAATAAGATTAGGAGTTACCTCTTGTTTTCTACAATGAATGTTTCTAATGTGCATCAAATAAGAGTTTCTGTTATGTCAATAATATTATATTTGCTCTATGCTTGTTATCCAATAAGAGTTTATAATATCACTACAACAAATTGCACTTTTTTCGACGCTTATTCATGACGCATGGTTAAATACGTCAGCAAAAACTATGTTTTTCCCGACGATTTTAGTTAGCGTCGGCAATAAATATATTTTCCCCCATGTTTATAATTAGTATCGCTAAAAGTGTATATTATTTGTGACGTTTTAACTTAGCATTGGTAAAAGTGTATGGATTTCCCAACGTTTTTTCATTTTCGTCGGCAAAAGTATAGCTTTTAGTGATGTAAAAATATTCTTCGTAAAAAAAACACATTTGACGACGCACGTTAGTGTCGGCAAAAGTGTAGCTCTTAGCGACGAACAATTTTGTGTCACTAAAAATAAACACTTTTGACGACGCTATATTGCATCGTCAAAAGTATAGCTTTTAGCGACGTCAAACTATTGTGTCGCCACAAGTAAACAGAGAATCTCCATGTCGAAGCTCGCTGCCCTAGCAATCCTCCTCCTCTTCTCAATCGCCGAGATCTCTCTCTCCTCCGCCAAGAAACCGTCGGCCGCCGCCGCTCGAAGAGAAGACATCCCCTTTATACGATGCCAGGTCTGCCACAAGATCGCGGAGTAGATTTACAATCAAGTTGAGAAGAAACAAGCTCAGATATCACCTAAAAAGGTTAACTATTTGTTGTTTGGTTTCGGTTCTGTTGAAATTGGTGGTTTGATTTGGGGATTAGGTTTCATAGTACCGGATTATTAAGATTGCAGAGAATGTTTGTAATTTGAAGAAGGAAGAGACGGATTGGATTCTGCAGATTGATATTGTTGAGAAAGGGGACAAATTGGAGGTAAAATCAACTGCTTTTTTTAATACAAAATTGTACATTTTCTTTTGCATATTTATAGCGATTCTTTGAAATTATCCTTTTTTTCACATGACAATGCTCGTGTGTAGTAATTAAATTTCCTTTGCAGCTTGTTGAACAAGGTACCGAAGGGCTATGCAACTCAGAGTGTAAGACTATCATATCGAGCGCGCATGTCTAGAGGTTAGTAATTACTTTTCTGTTTCACATATATATGAATCAATGGCACAAAATATTGCTTTCAAAATTGATCTATTTTCTGGTTTTTTATTGGTAATTATCTAGTTATATTTTGGGCGATGTTGTAAATGTTTTGATCGCTTTGTAGTTGACACTTGTTAAGATATCTATTAGTATTGAGTCTGGTGAAATGTTTAGGAACATGCAGTTATAGCACAGGTTGGTGATTGTTGCACGTGCACATGATCAGGAGGCAGAGGCAGGAGTTTATAATGTATTTGTATCATACATGTATTAAACAGAGTAAAATGGTTTAAAAACGACAAATCTACCTAACATTTTAAATAGATGCATCAATTGGTGACGATTGATGGGGTGATGTATTGATGTTTTTATCTTTTAATAAAATTTTCTATGATATTTTTGTGTCTTGGGTGATGAAACAACTTGATGCATTGAGTTTGTCTTGCGATTAAAAATTTATTAAAATTTCACTTAGCAGTGGGCGACTAAGGAGGGACCATTCAAGGTAGATATCATATTTTTTTCTATGTCGTCTTTGTGCTTAAGAAAACATTAGGTTACTGAAAGTAATATGAGCAACAAGCGCGAAAAAACTTTGTGATGGGAATACCCTTCTATTTGAGTGGGAGAATTTATGTGAGATTGGTAAGCAATACTACCTTGTTTTGAAAAAAAAACTTTGTGATGGGAATACCCTTCTATTTGAGTGGAGAATTTATGTGAGATGGGAATACAGTTTATATGGCTGTATTTCAGTGTATCAAGAGAAAAAAAAACCAACTTTAGTACAAAGATTAATTTAGCTGTACATTATTTCATTATCAAAACTTTTCTTTGCAAGTGCATGTTGCCTGCTGAGTGGTCGCAATCATTTTCATCAAGGCTCAGTAAACTGAAAAGTTGTTAAAAAGTTAACTGCACAGAATGTCATAGACGACACTGTTTGCTTTCAATAATAAGTAGGATATGTGCAATATTATTGTAAGATCAATACGTGAAAATTTTCAGTTCCATACATATAGCCGGTTAGAATCATAAGTTTTTTTCTTGTTTATGAGATGTCACATTTTTTTGCTGCAGATCATCGGATACTCGGATACAGATGTTGCTGAATTTGTATATAAACACCATCCTTCTGTGGATAAATTGGTGAATGTCCTGCGTAATGACCTTTTTGATGCATGCTCCAAAAGCCCACCACCTGTTCCTAAGGTATTGCACTCATATATTTCTGATAGTAATGAGTTGTTTATGATGTGCTTGCAGTGATTGGTGTTTGATATGATCTAGGAGCAGAGTAAATAATACTCAGGCACCCTTGTTTATTGAACACACTCCAATCAACCTGAGGACCTATTTTAGAAATTGTTAGCATTTGTTCTTTTGTCTTGGCTTGTATTCAGCAGACGTTGCAGTTCCCCTTTCAAATATGCACTAATGAATTAGTGTCAATATTGGTTAGTTGTTACACAGCTTGATTGTTTTAATTGGACTGTTACATGTGGTTACTATATAGTATCTGTAAGATTTAGGCTATAATATTTATCTTATGTTTACATTTCTTGCATGCTAAATAGAAATTCTGACAGACTTACTTATTCCTCCCGTTCCCATACAACTTAGGAATTTCAAGATCCGAGATTCCCCTCTTCTAGGTAATAACTTCAATTCATGATTGTAGGCATGGCACATTTATTTTGGTATCTGTTTATGTACAGAATCTGATGTACTAGAATTAGTTAACATGTTTTGCTGTTCTTAGGGCATCTCCAACCCTTTGCCTCAAAATGGTGCAAATTTTGCACCAAAATGGTGCAAAAGTCACATCTAACAGTAATTCATCTCCAACCCATTGCACCATTTTTTGCACCAAAAAGGAATATTCTCAGTATCTTTCTTTTTATCTACTTTTATATGATTATTTTTTATTCCCTATATTTTTAACTATTTCAACAATTAACCCCACATATCAAATTTTATTTTTTCACATATTTTCCAAACAAAATGATTTATTATTTAAAAATTAAACTAATAAAACAATAAAATATTATTTTATTAATTAAAATAACTTGATTGCTAAAATATTATATTTTTATTATTGATATTGCCAAAATATTACATTCAAGAACACAACAGGAAATAAAATACAAGGAAATAATTAAACATTAACAACAATGTAAAAATTACAAATTTAGTATGCACTTAACTATCTGAATTAGTGTATTCCTCCCATAGATGATCTATCAATGCATTACGAAGCGCAATATGGGCATCTTTATCCTTGATTT